AGAAGAAAAAAAAAGATTAGAAAACAAAGAAATAAGAAAGTGTGACCCTTACTAAGGAAGAAATAAAAACTATCTCCTCGAGATGTTGAATTTATCACAGACTTAAAAGCATCTGTTGTGAACATGTGGAAGTCATGTTTAAAGAATTAATGAAAGAACCAAGATGGTGGCATAGATAAACACCTATACTTGCTGCCTCTCACAACCACATCTAAATTACAACTAAAAGGCAGAACAACTATCACCCAGAACTACAGGAAAGCTGGCTGAGTAGAAGTTCCACAACTAGAGTTTTGAAGAAAGCGCATTAAGACTGGTAAGAGGTGAGGAGGCACGGAAAGTGCTGGCACCTGGATGCACTGCTCTTTTAATTGGGAGGGAAATACAAGCTTACACTTGCTCTGAACTCCAGGTCTGGGCACAACTCTAGGGAACCCAGACACATACGGAGAGAATTGGACTGTCTGGCATTGGGACTGGAATGTGAGGGCGGCTTTCTCTCAGAGGTGCTTGCAGTGATCATTGTTCCTGCACAGAGGGCATGGGATGCAAAGACCCAGGGACCTCTCCAGTGCAGGGCTGACTGGCAGCCATTGCTATTTGCTCCACCCTGGAGATTCCCAGAGATCCCGCCCTACCCAATTTACAACCCTACCCAAAGTGTGCACATCAGCTTTTGCATATGAATGGCCTGTCCTTTCTCTGCCTAAAAACCTGTCAAATTGCAGCTGGATCAGAGAGCCCCAGAACTTCCAAAAGAAGGCACAAGGCCCAGCAGCAGCAGCCTGCCTTGCTTCACAGCTGAGCCTTGTCTGGCCACTTCCAAACCCCATACAAAGAGGAAGAATCTGTAGATGTCTTTGTAGCTACTGCTGGCATGCCCAAACAGTGGCTGACCTTGCACCTCCTTGGAGATCCAAGAGCCAGTGTACCCAGTGGTCAGAATGAGACCATACCAGATTACAACTCTCCACATCCATAAGAGACACACTCAAGGGGCAGACTCAGCGAGCACCAAAATCCTGCTGTAGCAAGTCCTGCCCAATAAGGGTGGCTCCTGTGCAACAATCTTCCAGTATAGACAACAGCTGGTCATCACAGCCAATTGGCCTGGAGGTCAATTCCCCCCAGTGATATCAACAGCAATCAAGGGTTAACTACAATGAAACTGTGCAAACATACCCACAAAGGTATGTACCAAGAGCATCCACCTCAGTTGACTGGGGAGGCTGAGCCACTGAGCCCTATCGGAAACCTACCACACAAGGCCACTCGATCAATCAAGGAGACTTAGCAGCTACCCAGTACATAGAAACAAACACAAGGAAGCAGCCAAAATGTGGAGACAAAGAAGTCACAAATGAAAAAAATGGATAAAAGCAAAATATTGGATATAAAGCTCAAAACCACTATTATAAGGTTATTCAAGAATATTCTAGAAACCTCCAAGAAATTTAGTGAGACCCTGAAGGATATGAAAAAGGACCAACTAGAAATTAAGCATACATTGACTGAAATAAAGAATAATATACAGAGATCCAACAGCAGACTCGAGGATCCCAAGAACCAGGTCAAAGATTTGAAATACGAAGAAGCAAAAATACCCAACTGGAAAAGTAAAAGGAATCCAAAAATATGAAGATAATGTAAGGAGCCTCTGGGACAACTTCAAGCATACCAACATTCAAATTATGCGGTCCCAGAAAGAGAGAGAGAGAGAGCAAGATATTGAAAACCTACTTGAAGAAATAATGACAGAAAACTTCCCCCACCTGTCGAAAGAAATGGACTTACAAGTCCAGGAAGCACAGAAACCCCAAACAAGAGGAATCTAATGAGGACCACAGCAAGACACATCATAATTAAAATGCCAAGTGCAAAAGAATATTAAAAGCAGCAAGAGAAAAACAGTTTCCTACAAGGGAGTACCCATATGACTGTCAGGTGACTTCTCAACAGAAACTATGCAGGCCAGAAGGGAGTGGCAAGAAATATTCAAAGTGATGAACAGCAAGAACCTAAAACCAAGATTACTCTACCCAGCAAAACTATCATGAAGGTCAGATAAAGAGCTTCACAGGCAAGAAAAAGCTAAAGGAGTTCATCACCACCAAACCATTATTATATGAAATGCTGAAGGGTATTCTCTAAGAAGAGGAAGAAGAAGAAAAAGGTAAAGATAAAAAATTATGAACAACAAAGTGAAAATAAATAAAGATATATCAACAAGTGAATCTAAAAGTCAAATGAATAAAAAAATGAGGAACAGTACAGATTGGTGAATGTAATAGAATCAGGGGCATGGAAAGGGGACAGACTGACAATTCTCGGGGGGAAGGGTTTGTGGGGGTGGAGGAAGAGACTGGACAAAGAGCTGACACCTATGGATGAGGTCAGTGGGAGTTGGGAGGAGGGAATGCCTGGAGTGGGATGGGAACCAAGTGGAGGGGAGCTATGGGGGGGAAAAAGAGGAATATCTGTAAAAATCTGAACAATAAATATTGTGGTGTTTTTTTTTAAAGTCAAAGCTGAGAAAAACTTCTTAAAAATAAAAGATAAATAACCTATCACCAAAGGAGACCAAAATTTTTATTAATAGCTAACTTCTCTCCAAAAATAATGGAAGTATATCCAGCATAACATATCCAAACTTATTTTAAACAAAAAACTGCCAGTCTAGCATGGCTCATTGGTTGAGCTTTGACCTATGAACCAGGTCACAGTTCAATTCTCGGTCAGGATGCATGCCAGGGTTGCTGGCTGATTTCCAGTAGATGGCATGCAGGAGGCAGCCAAACAATGATTCTCTCTCATCACTGATGTTTCTCTTGCTCTCCCTTCCTCTCTGAAATCAATAAAAAAAAAAAAAAATGTATTTTTTTTTAAATCTTTTAAAAAAATAAAAACAGTCAGTCCCTGTATTATGCTATACCCAGCAAAACTCTTTAAAAAATGCAAATTAAAGATGTTCCCAAGAAAGATTAAAAATATAAGATAGCAGTATAATATTGTATTATTGAGTTCTAATATATAAAGATATTACAAATGACAATATTAGCACAAAGAGAAGAAAATGCTAAAATATATTAATCCATGTTACTAGAATTAAATTTGTATTATTTTGAAGTATACTGGGATAAGGTGATGTGTATTATCATCCCTAACTAAAATATAACTTAAATAAAAGAGGACCACAGGGGACTTGTTAAGCTATGAGAAAAACAGAAAACAAAAAATGAAATAGCAGATATTATAAACAATTATATCAATATTAAACATGAATGAACCATAACCAACTGAAATAACAGAAGAGATTGTCAGAATGGATTTTAAAAAGGCAAGATCCAGCTGATAAAGGACTTGTAGTCATAGTATGTGATTTCTTAAAATGCATAAGATAAGCAACAGTGCAACATGCAGATGGTGATATACTATAGAACTATATACCAGAAACCTATATAATTTTACTGACTGATATCACCCTAATACATTCAATTTTTTTTTTTTTTTTTAAACAGAAGACTATAAGAAGTACTGTCTGTATAAGATATAGACACACTGAAACCCTCAAACACTGGTGGTTGGAATATAATGTTGTGTAGTTATTTTGGAAACAATTCCTCAGTGTCATAAAAGTTACCATATGACTGACCAACTTTAATCCCAAAAGTCTAGCAAGAGAAATGGAACACAAATACACACAATGGCATGTACACACATATACACATACACACACAAAGAGGGACAGGGTGGAAGGGAAGAAAAGAGAAAAAGGGGGACGGGGCGACAATAGAAAATTAGGCAAATGAACAAAATTAATGAATCTCTGTCAAGAGTATATAGAAGTTATTTCTATTATTCTGTTAACATTTCTGTAAGGTTGAAATTACATCAAATTTAAAATTATTTTTAAAAAGGGCACAAATATCATGTGGCAAGTTCCTGTAATCAACATCCTCAATGAAGACATATAAGGCTTAAAAGTTATTAGAAAACTGCAGGTAATTTTAATAAAATCACTTCAAGTATATAATTTGGTTAAATATAAAAAGCAATAAATATTCTAAAATAATTTTTCTATTGAGTTAAATAAATTTGTAAATCCTGTAACAGCATGTTCATATTCACAAAATCTGAACAAAAAACAAACACAATTTTCCATTTCTGATACAGTGTAATTTAAAAGTTCATTTTGAAGGGGACTGAGCTTTTTATCTAATTTTACTTTCAATATCAAGCATCATTATATACTTATTCAAAATTGGAAGTGTCATTTTTTAGTTAACAAGACTGCAGTCCTGAAATAAATCTCATTAGTGACCATGATAATGTTAAAAAAAAAAAAAAAGGAGGGGGAGGGGGGCGCCACAAAAACACAAGGTACATTTTTAAAAGTTTATAATCAATTAAATTCTGATTGTACCTTTACATTTACAATTCACTATTTTTTAAGATTTTTTTTTTAAATACAATTTTATATGTGGACAATCTGGAGCATAATTAAGTGTATCTTAATGAAGTTTCCACAGATGTATGTAGAAATATGGTTTACCAGCAGCCAAAAAGCATCATTTCTTTATTAAAGATCAATGGTACTACCTAGAAATAAGGATAATTCTTCAACAATATCATTTTTTCTAAGTAAAAAGACTTCCAAGGAGCTCAAGGCACAATTTTATTCACATCTAGTAGAATAACCCACCATAAAAATCATTATTTATGTGCAACTAAATAACTGATGGACATTTCTCAAACAAGCTGTTTCAATCCTGATAGTTCTTTATTTTCTTTAACATAGTTGCTATGGATTGCTAATTTGCAACAGGTGTCATCATGAGAATAACCAAAAGTAGATAAATGTGACAAAAGGTTGACAAAGTGTTTCACATCCTTGAATGATACCAGGTCAAGAATGGGAGAGAAGTGTTGCAAAAGGAGAGTACTGTAATGCTACTTATATTCTTGCAGTAAAACCAGCAACGGACCCATTTCAAAAGAGATCACCTCAATTCCAATTTCTTCCCCTCAAGAACAATTTGAATCTCTTTGGCATCCAAAGTCTCATAGGTCAATAAAGCTTCTGCTAGATTCTTGTGCTCTTTTGCATGAGTCTTCAAGATATGTTTTGCTCGTTCATACGAGTCCTAAAATAGAAAAGCAGATCTATAAGAGGCAAAACAAAAACAAAAAAAAAAAAAAAAACCAAACCTTAGGAAAAGCAAAAACCATAAATGAGAAAATAAAAAATAAAAAATCTATGTACTCTAAAAATGTGAAATCAATTTTTATTTATAAAAATAAAAGCACTTAAAATTTTTACTTATTGATTTTAGAGGGAGAGAGAGAAACATCAATTTGCTGTTCTACTTATTGATATATTTATTCATTGGATGATTCTTTTTTTCTTATTTAATCCTCATCCGAGGACATGTATAGTTGTGTGTGTGTCTCTCTCTCTTTCTTTCTCTCTCCCCCATTCCCCTCTCCTTCTTTCCCCTCCACCCCAGCCTCATCCCTTCCACTCTTTCTAAAAATCATTAAAAAAAATATCCTCAGGTAAGGATTAACAAATAAGTAAATAAATCATGGTTGAAATAGTGCACCTATTATCTTTATTATCTTTATTTCTAAAGAACAAAAGAGTTCAGTTGTCATTTGGTAAGCACCCAACTATTTAGGCACATTATGACTAAATAAGTAAATGTAGAAAAATATGATAATTACCTTCAGAAGGATTCTGATTTCTTGTTCAATAGCTGATTGTGTTTCTGGACTTAGTTTCCCTGTATCACTGTAGGTCATAACTCCAAGCTAAAACAAATGGGAAGAAATTGAACAGAAAATAAAACAAAAACTCCATAAATAAAACATAACAGAGGAAGTACCATCCTATACATAAGAAAACCAATTTCATGGGGAAAATTAAGAAATTCTATATAAAATGGCCTTAAGGGCAAAGAAATTCATCATTTTTCTGAAATTATAACACTAAAACTAAAGTGTGAGCAAGACAGAAAATTTAAAATCATAAGTATGCTTGTGAGTGCCTTCTAGAAATCTTGGCAGCTATTCCAAGTCCAGAAATCCACAATTCAGAGTATTAGAATTGCTTCATGGAACCACAGTGATAACGCAAGAAAGTGAAATATGTGAAAAGGGTAAAATATGGCAGGCTCAGCAAGTATATTTTTTACGTCATATGAATAGAAATGGCTAAAGAATTTGTCTTATCATTTTGTTAACTCATGAATGAATAATTGTTAGTGTTCAAGTAGCTAGAATGAAAACAATACTCAATTACCCAGAAAATAAGTGGTTGGCAAACTCACTAGTAAACAGAGTCAAATATCAACAGTATAATGATTGAAATTTCTTTTGAGAGAGAGCCAAATTTTTTAACTTAAACTATATAGGTAGGTACATTGTTATTAACTTAATTAGGGTACTCCTAAGCTGGCCTTTGCTAAAAACTCAAGGGGCCAAAGAGCAAATTGGCTCGCGAGCCATGGTTTGCAGACCACTAGTTTAGAATAAGCTAAGATAACTCCATTTGGAATGAGACAGAGGAAAGTAAATGTTATCAATTTATAATGAAAACTCTCAAGAGACATTTGGCACATATCATTTAAGACATAAGGAACAATAACATTAACCAATACCTTTTCACTCATTCCAAATTTGGTAACCATCCACTTTGCTATTTTAGTTGCATTATCGAAATCACTGGAAGCACCTAAAATTTAAAAATAAAGATAGAACTCATTTAAAAAATATCTTTAAACCAACAAACACAATTTGAACTAACGCCATTTTTACAACCAACCTGTTGTAATATGGTCAGTCCCAAATATAAGCTCCTCTGCCACTCTTCCTCCCATACTAACATCCATTTGTGCAAGCAGCTGAGCCCTGGTTTCATTCCACCTGTCATTCTCAGGCAACAGGGACACCTAGACAATTGAAAAACAGAAAAAAATTTCAGAGAGTTTTAGAACACCTACATTAATAACCAGAATTATCATCTGGCCCTCTCACCTTACTTAATATTAATACCATGATGCTGAAAGCCCAAAGACTTTTATTAGAGATGACCATCAGGTGACTGATGAAAAAAACAGACATTTATAAAGAGAACTTTATAAATGTATTTATAAAGCAAAATACATTTTATAAATAACACGTAGATAAAGGTGATATAGGACTCTTCTATCCTCTGCTGCACAAAAATGCTTAAAATCTCTACAATTAGAAAGATATGAGAACAAAATTTGTACTCAATAAGAAAATTCTTAGAAAAACTACTGAGTCAGTACATAATTTCTTTTGTGGGAGGAAAAAATGCAATTACATAATTAAGAATTATAATTTGCTGCTATTCCAGAATTAAATTTCATATTGAAATATATAATATCAAGTATATTCTTTATTAAAAGATAAATTTCACAAGTATCTCTAATTTCAAGATGGTTCAGGATGTTAAAGAAAATATCAACAGCCCTAGTTGGTTTGGCTCAGTGGACAGAGCATCGGCCTGTGGACTGAAGGCCCCGGGTTTGATTCTGGTCAAGGCACATGCCCAGGTTGTGCGGATGTGCAGGAGGCAACCAATGACTCTCTGTCATCACTGATGTTTCTATTTCCCTCTCCCTTCCTCTCTGAAATCAATAAAAATATATTTTTTTTTAGAAAAAGAAAAGATCAACAACTCTAGGTGGGTTGGCTCAGTGGATAGGTTTCTATTTCAGTCAAAAGAGCACATGGCAGGTTGCAGGCTCAATCCCCAGTGGGAGGCGTAAAGGAGGCAGCCAATCGATGTTTCTCTCTCATCATTGATGTTTCTATCTCTCTATCCCTCTCCCTTTCTCTCTGAAATCAATAAAAATATATATTAGAAAATATCAAATTTAGCAAGTAGCTGAATGTTATTTTAAGGGATTTTATCAGCAATTTCATACATATGCTTCTGGAAAGTGCTATCTGAAAGCAAAGAAAAACTGAAAGATACTTACATGCCCAAGTGTTGGCCCTCGAGGCATGATTGTAGCTTTATTGATAGGCATTGCATCTTTAGTGTAATATGCAATAATAGCATGGCCAGATTCGTGATATGCAGTGATGGTTTTGTTTTTGTTATCGATTTCCACACTTCTACGTTCAGGCCCTAAAAGCAAAAAATTAATCAGGTTAAATGCTCCTATTTTTTTAAAAATAAGTACAATTGCACAATACAACAATGTGAAATGAAAACCAAAATTATTAGAACTATCATCTTATTCTCATAGCCAAAGGGAAAGCTTAATCTTATTTCTAGAAAATAAACTTTCAATTTAAAAGGAATGTCTTATCTAACCTATTTTGAAGCCAATTCTTGAGTTACAGTAAAAAATACTAAGAAGAATAAAATTAACTATTCGTTCACCAGCAATATTAGGCAAGAGTAAAAACATAGGCATCCATACACCCCAAATAAGTATCCTATATAACAGAGGCAATGTGCAAATTGACCATCACACCCTCAAAAGATGGCTGCTTATGACCAAGCCAGCAGGGGGGTTAGTGAGGGACAACCAAACAACTGACCAGCAGGCTGCTTGGGGTGCCCAGGCCAGTAGGGGGGATAGTTAGGGATGATCAAACAATTGAACAGCAGACTGCGTGGGGCAACCAAGTCGGCAGAGGGATAGTGGGGGACAACCAGGCCAGCAAGGGGGGACAGCTGGGGGCAACCAGGCCGGCAGGGGGGCAGTTAGGGGCAACCAGGCCAGCATGGGGGTAGTTGGGGGACAATTAGGCTGGCAGGGGAGAAGGCCAGTAAGGGGCAACTAGACTGGCGAGGTGGGGCACCAGACCAGCGGGAGTGGTGGGTGGAGTCAATTAAGTAGGAGCGACCAAGCTGGCAGGGAGGGGGCAATTGGGGATGACCTGGACAGCAGCAGGGGACAGTTAGGGCTGCTGGCCAGGTCATTTGCACAGGTCATCAAAGGCAGGGAGGCAGGTGAGCGATTAGAAGCCAGCAGTCCAGTATGGTGAGAGGGATGTCCAAGGATAGGGCCTAAAGCAGCAGTTGGACATCCCGAGGGGTCCCAGATTGGGCTGAAAAGACACTCCTTCCCCCCTCCCCCCGCCCTGTGCACTGGGCCTCTAGTAATTATATAATCTACATTTATCTGTGAGAGGCCAAACTGTTTTTGCTACATTCAAATATATATTTTCATGTCCCTATATGTTTGTTTTTATTATTTTTTGTTGTTAATCCTCACCTGAGGATATTTTTCCCATTGATTTTTAGAAAGTGTAGAAAGGGCCCTAGCCAGTTTGGCTCAGTGTATAGAGCGGCCTGCAGTCTGAAAGGTCCCAGGTTTGATTCCAGCCAAGGGTCCTGGGTTCGATTATGGCCACATGCCCAGATTGTGGACTTGATCCCTAGTAAGGGGCATGCAGTAGGCAGCCGATCAATGATTCCCTCTCATCACTGATGTCTCTCTCTCTCTCCCTCTTCCTTACTCTCTGAAATCAATTTTTTTTAAAGAAAGTATAGAAAGGAAAAAGTTGGGGAAAGTATGAGAAGAAAATAGAGGAGGAAAGGAAGGAGGGTGGAGGAAGAAAGAGAAAAACATTGATGTCAGAGAGGCACATCGATTAGTTGCCTCCCACACCTGCCAGATTGGGGCCTGTGATCTAACCTACAACCCAGGTGCATGCCATTGACTGGGAATCAAAACCTCAGCCCTTCAATATTCAAGCCAAAATTCTAGCCACAAAGAAACACTGGCCAGGGCTACCTTTGTTTTTTGGTGTGTTTTTTTAAATAACCTCTCAAAATGAAGAATTTATTCTCTAACATACTGAATAGTATAAAACAGGAAAAAAAGAAAACCTACCCATTAAAATTTTATCTTTGGAAAACTCAAGTTCTTTCATGGTAACCATTTCTTTTCCATCAACAGCTGCCTTTAAAGCAGCTTGGTTCACAAGATTCTCCAACTCTGCTCCAGAGAAGCCAACAGTACCTCGAGCTATGATTTCTGGATCAACAGCTGTATAGATATAACACAATATATTAAAGTCCCAAAACAGTCAACAGAAAGTTTGTCAGGAAAAACTCAAATTCCAAAAAAATAAAAACAGCCATCCTGAACTATAATTTAAAATATATATTTTAATTAAACTAAAAAATAAATTTATTTTAATAACTTCTAAGGGAATAAAGTCAAAATAGTTATAAATATGCCATTAAAACTAATTTTTTGGGACAAATAACAAAACCTCTTAAATTTAAATAACTTTGTGAAAAAAATAAAGAAATGTAGAGTTATCTGTTATGGCCTACTTCAGTTATGGCCTACATCATTAGTGGCCTAATGACAAATCAAAGAAGCATAATCGTAAACATATCTTTTTCTAAAATTTCATTTTCAAATACTTTGGACATAAAAACTCCCTTTATTATGGAAAACTTATTTGTGTTTATTTTCACTTGATTAAGTTATCTTTGATAATACTGCAGCTTTAATAGCTGCATTTATTACTCAGGTTGGTCTATGATTTTTTATTTCCGTGTGCTTTGTTTTACAAGTGATTTTCCCTTCCTTTGACACCAAAGTGACTATATCATGAAACACTGTGGTCATAATGTGCAGGTGTTTTTCCCTATTATTTCATATTTTACATTCATCTTTAAAAACATATAAACATTCATCTTTAAGTATTATCTATCTGAATACTCAAAAGAAAACTTTCATTAGAATCAGAATTCAAAATGATAAAATCTGCATATGCATTAAGTATAAAATGGACTTTTTTTTTAAAAAGTACTATAAATGAAAGAAAAAATGACTTATAAAGGAACTGACATTGCTTAATTAAGACATTGCTTAATTAAGAACCACTAACTGGGTGGATTGACATATTACCATTTTATGGAGATAACAATGTTTGTATCATGAAATAAGACTTACACTGATCAAATTTTATTTTATTGAGATACCATTTCAAAATTTCTGTTCGACCTCTTACATCTGGCCTTGGAACTGTAACCTGCATGTCAAAACGACCAGGACGAATTAAGGCACTAAGAGAGAATACACAAAGAAAATGAAAATTAGTAAGGTGACTATGTTGAAGGCAAGTTAAACAGGACCACCACACTAAGGAGAGGTTGGAAAGGCAATGCAACCAGAGGTTAGATGTAATTTTGAACATAAGTATTCAGATAGTTCCTTATAAAACATGGCTCAAATAAGTTTTAATAAATGTGTGCCTACAGATAGCAGACACCCCTCAGAAACAAAATGTACAAGTCAATCAGCCAGGGAACAGATAATTCTATACTAGTCTATTAGAGTCTCAGGCAAAGACAAACTATTAGATGAAACAAAAATATGAATAATTTCTATAATAAAATCAATAAAAATTTAAGATTATACTAAATTTTATATATCATAAAAAGTTTTTGTGACATATAAGTTATCCAAAGGTCCTTTTAACAGTTTTATTGAGATAATTTACATATTACCAAATTTAAAGTAGATAAGCCAGCATGCTCTTTCTCCCTCTTGAGCAATTTCCCTTCCCCCAGGCTCCTCCTCTCTGTATTTCTTTTTCCTGAACTCCAAGTGCCCTTCTTTTTGCCTCCATGACTCCTTTCCTATGCCCATACAGCCCAGCTGGCTTACCTTTTCTATCTCTGTAACTTTCTGAATAAATTTTTCTCTTATAATTTAAAAAAATAAATGGATAATTAAAAGCTCTTTAATATTTCAGAATTCTGTAACCATCACCACAATCTAATTTTAGCAATGTTCATGACCCCTCAAAAGTAAAACACAAAAAAACCCATATCCACTGGAAGTCACTCCCCATTCTCCCCAGCCTCTGGGCAACCATTAATCTGCATACTTTTTGTTGACCTGGATTTACTAATACTGGACATTTCATATAAAGGGAAGCATATATGATGTTCTGTGATGGGCTTCCTGCCATTAGAATCATATTTTTAAAGTTCATCCATATTCCAACATATATCAGTACTTCACAAAAATTTTCTTTTAATACTTACTTATCTAATGCTTCTGGGAAGTTTGTGGCTCCTATGATGATAACTCCTTCATTGGGTTTAAAACTATTAAAAAAAAAAAGTATCTTTTCACTAAAAATTAAAACAGCACACATATATAAATGTACTACATAAAACTGTTTATCTTTAATCTTAATAACAGCAAAGAAAAAGGATTGGTATTTTTATGCCCCAAATGCTATCTCTATTTTTTAAAAGAAACAAATATTAGCCCAGTATACTTTACTACAACTGCTAATATATAATCACCAAATCATCCGTGATTATATACCTACACAATTATTTGTTTTACTTAGGAAGAGATGACCTGACACAAGAAGCTTGGGGTACCTGACTATATTTTTGAAAAATTATTTTATTTTTAAGTTTACTAATTCAAATTGTATGCTCCTAAACTTACTATTTGGTTCCAGAATGTCTAATATGACTTTAAAAAATATTTTGCTTCTTTCCAAGCAATCCCACCTCTTGCTTTTTATATTATGAAAACTGATGCAAGTTTTTTAATCTGTCACAATACTAAAATCTGGTCACAACTGTGTAGGGATCAGCATACTCTCCCTTTACATCTCCAAATAATGTGAGGAGGAACCACTGTTTTCCTGTCATATATAAAAGCCTAAGCAACCATTATGACCTAAGGACTGGAACGATCAGTCGCTATGACATGTACTGACCACCAGGGGGCAAATGCTCAACACAGAAGCTGTCCCCTGGTGGTCAGTGCCCACCCATAGCCAACCCCCCACGAACAATGGGTGGCCGTTCCTTCCGCACCAGGCCTGGAGACCATTGCCTCCTCTCCCAACCCTACCTGGGGCCTTCAAGCCCCTAGATGGGACAGGGAATTGGGGGTGGGTGGTGGCAGACGCAATGCCTTTTCCAAAGGAGCCAGGGGCCAGCTCCCTCCTCAGGGAAGGCTGCCAATCTCCCACACCCCATCCCTCCCCTAGGCCAGCAGGCCTCGATCAGCCTGCTGCCTTCCTGCCACAGTGGCAGTGAGGGAAGGAGGAGGGAGGCTGGGAACCATGCAGTGATGGTGTGCTGGCATCTGGGGTACAGCATCCGTTCCTTCCACACCCAGCCCAGCAACCATCACCTCCTCTCCCAACTCCACCAGGGCCTTCAAGGCCCTGGGCTGGGACAGGGAACCAGGGGTAGATGGTGGATACGGCCACTTTCCTAGGGGGCCAAGGGCTGGCTCCCTCCTTGGGGCTAGTGGCCAACCTTCCGCTCCCTGTCCCTCCCCCTGGACAGCCCTCATTGCCAGCCAGGCCTAGGGACCCACCCATGCACGAATTTGTGCCTGGGCCTCTAGTAATAAATAAAAAAGGTGCAACTATCATCAACTTAAATGAGTTGATACATTAACTACGCTATTAGAATTAGAAACAATACAATCCTGAAAATAGCTTGTCTTGACTTTTTGCATGACTACTCTGTTGCCTACAAACATAGAATGTTATTAAATATATTCCAAAGACAGAAGATTCAATTACCCATCCATTTCAGCAAGAAGTTGATTTATAGTCTGCCTTGAATATGGATGCATTGGAGATTCAATTCGCTTCCCACCAACAGAATCTAATTCATCAATGAATATAACACAAGGAGCATTCGCTTTTGCTTCCCCTAGGAAAATAGAAAAGATTAAAATTTTGATGAAAATTCATATAAATATTAAAAACCTGCAAAATTGTCAAAAGCCAACAAAACGATATTAGGGAGAAAATACACCAAAACAGATTTTGTTGTGTTAATTCTTTTTTTTTTCCCCCACTGATAAAGGACAATAGCCTCAGGGGACTCTTTCCTCCTCCCCACATGGGTATCTGTGCTGTGAGATTTTTTCCCCATCCCAATGTGGAAGCATGTAGTTATTCTTCAATAAATTTCACCTTTGCTTAAAAAAAAAAAAAGAATAGCCTCAGAAGGAAAGAAAATAATTAGATTATAGAGAATGATATATATTAAAAACAGTTGTAGCCCAGTTAAGTGGTTAGAGCATCGGCCTGTGTACCAGAGGATCAAGGGTTCAATTCCCAGTCAAGACCAGGTACCTGTACCTGGGTTGCAGGTTTGATCCCCAGTCCGTCAGGGTATGTGCAGGAGGCAACCACAGATAGATGTTTCTTACTCTCTTCTCCCTCCCTATAACACTCCTTTTTACCTCTCTAAAAAGTGATGGAAAGCCCTAGCCAGTTTGGCTCAGTGGCTAGAGCGTTGGCCTGTGAACCAAAGGGTTCTGGGTTCAATTCCCGCCAAGGCACATACCTCGGCTACAGGCTCCCCCTTGGCCCAGGCCCTGGTCCAGGCATCTGCAGGCGGCAACCAAATGATGTATTTCTCTCACATCAATGTTTCTCTCTGTCTTTCCCTCTTTTTTCCACTCTCTCTAAAAATCAATGGAAAAATATCCTCAAGGATTGAAAAATAATAATAAAATTAAATATAAATTGATGAAAATAATATCCTCCAGTGATGATTAATAAACAAACAAATAAATAGAAACAACTGTGTATTCATTCATTCTTCCTACTTGTTTCAACTAGTTTAACCTCAGGTTTGAGGTTAATTACATACTATAGAAATGATAAACTAAATTAAAAAAACAACAAAAAGACCCAGCTTTTCTGCAGCACCCAACTACATCTAACACTTCCATTAGCTACTCTGACTGTATTTGGGGTCAGAGTAGCTAATGGAATTGTAAAAAAGTACAATTCTGTTTTAGTTCACACATGAAATTCCCTGAAACCAGCCCAGCCAGTATAGCTCAGAGGTTGAGTGTCAACCTATATACTGGGAGGTCACAGTTCAATGCCTGATCAGGGCACATGCTCAGGTTGCAGGCTCAATCCCCAGTAGGGGGCATGCAGGAGACAGCTGATCAATGATTCTCTCTCATCATTGATGTTTCTCTCTCTCTCCTCCCTTCCTCTCTGAAATAAAAATACATATTTTTTAAAAAAAATTCCCTGAAACCAGAACCCCCATATAACTTTGTTCAGCTGAATAACAATCTTTTTTTTTTTTAAATATATTTTATTGATTTTGTACAGAGAGGAAGGGAGAGAGATAGAGAGTTAGAAACATCGATGAGAGAGAGTCATCGATCAGCTGCCTCTTGCACACCCCCTACTGGGGATATGCCCGCAACCAAGGTACATGCCCTTGACTGGAATCAAACCCGGGACCCTTCAGTCCCCAAGCCGACGCTCTATCCATTGAGCCAAACCAGTTTCGGCTGAATAACAATCTTAATTAGCAAAGAAAGGGAGGGGAAAAAAACAACAACAAAAAAACCCTCTTCCCCTGAAATTAAAAAAAAAATTAGTATTGTATAAAAGATAAATTTAAACATACTAAAAAGATTTCTTATGCGGCTGGCTCCCACACCCACAAACATCTCATCAAATTCTGATCCAGAAGCATAATAAAAAGGAACATCAGCTTCTCCAGCTACAGCCCGAGCAAGAAGTGTTTTTCCTGTTCCTGGTGGTCCAACTAAAAGAATTCCTAAAAAAAAAAAATAATAAATAAATATATATATACACACACACACACACACACAAGAATAATTGAAATTAAAAACAAATTCTGATATACATCTTAAAAATTAATAATTTATATAACATTGAGGTTACGAGCACATCAATGACCAATGTTTTGAAACACAGCAAAATATATTTCTCTCTACTAATAATTCACTTCAGGATCTTCTCCATAACTCATTTTCTTGTATCATCTAAATACTGTTACGTATCAACCATAGACAGGACAAAATCTTGGGGGAAAGGAATATAAACTTATATGTGCTGCCGAAGCGAGCACAAGAAAGTCTAAATGTTATATGTGAACATGGATTGAGTCTTGAACCTGGATTGGGAGTGCAATAAGGGAACTTAATAAAAAGGTTATTATTAGGACAAATACTGAAAATACTGAAAATATCCTTATTTTTAAGAAATATATAATGAGCTATTTAGGAATAAAGAAGCATATATGATGTAATATTCAGAATTTCCTCTCAACTGTTCAAAAAATACACGTATATAAAGAAAGTGAATGAGTAATGAAAGAAAAATATTACATGATCTCACTAATTTATGAAAAATAAAGAACATTATAACCTGATGAGGAAAAAAAGATAGATACAGAGGCAGTAAAGCACCGAATAGACTGTCAAATTACAGCGGGAAGGCTGGGGAGAGGGAGCAAAGAGATCATCCAAAGGACTTGTATGCATGCATATAAGCACACAATGGACACAAGACACAGGGGTGGGGGGTGGGGTGCATGTTATAGGGGTTAGGGGAGGCTGGGGGAAGGTCAATGAGGGGGGAAAGGAGATATGTACTACTATATGTAATACTTTAAACAATAAGAAAAAAAGTGAATAAGCAAGTAGGACAAAATGTTTTAAAATAGTTGAGTGTGTGTTGAGTAGAGTTCTTTGTCATATTTTTGCAAACTGACTTAAAATTTGTATAAAATTTTAAATTACACAAAAAAAGGTTATAGAAAGGAATGTTCAGAATGAGCAGTTACTTATGAAATAGTAATTAAGAACTTAACTTTAATCAGTTAAATCCGATAACAATTAAGTTAGTAATATATTCCAGTATTTTTTATGGCAAATCTGGTAAAGGAAATATATCTTACCTTTTGGAAGTTTGCCTCCAAGCACAGTAAATTTTTGTGGATTTTTCAAGAATTCCACAACTTCTTGTAACTCTTGTTTAGCTTCCTCCACCTAAAGTGACATAATTTACCAAACAATTTAAAATAGAGATTTGAATATCAAGGCCTGATCCTTGGAAATTGAAAATTTAATTTGAATTTTTTGTTTGTTTCAGTAAAAGTATACAAAAATATCCCTTTATAAATATACCAAGAGTTTTTTCCTGGCCCTTACTGCCAATTATGCAAAGTTTACTTATATAACCCAAAAAATACATTTTAAACTTCTTAACTGCTCCCTCCAGTTAACAAAAACTATTATATTAAAAGTTCTATTCATATATGTCAGTGGTATTTTATCAAGTTTAAAATCCAGAATTTTTTTTTTTTTTTGGACCTGGTTATAAGCTTCAAGAGTAACTTATGTGGACTTACTTTATTTTACTAATGATAAGCATATTACCATATGATAACTTAATAATAGTATATTGCTATGTTATATTAATGACAAGGGATCTATGTTTAACTTAAAACATTAATTTGTGATTATGAGGTTGTCTTCATTATAAGGAATTTCTACTAGATTATAAATTATTCAGTTCCTCATAAATTCCAAAGGGCATTAATTAGAATTGAGTTATGATGCCATGATTTATTTTAAATCTTTACTGTTGAAAGTATTACATAGGTCCTCCTTTTCGTAATGATATTTTGTAAAGGGATGTGGCAAAAAAAAAAAAAGAAAAAAAAACTTTAGAAGAATTAATCCCCAAAATAATTGTTTGCAGAACTGTCATTTCTAGCATGAATGAAACCAAATCTCGCCAACAAAGATAATAGAGCATCAGCTCAATTTTAAAACTCTGATGTAAGATTACAAAAGCTGCCTATCAGAAATGGTGAGACATCTTCTTAGTTAGCATATTAGAAAAGTCACAAATGCAAATGATATTAAAAGTCACTACTGCCAGAATTATAACAAAAATTAGTGCAGAAGGCACAACACAGATGCCCTAGCCAATGTGGCTCAAAGGTTGGAGCATTGGCCCACACACCAAAGCGTCATAAGTTCGATTCCCAGTCATGGAAACGTACCTGGGTTGTAGGGTTCGATCCCCAGCCCAGGTCAGGGGGCCTTTGGGAAGCAACCAATGGATTTGGGAAGCAACCAATGGATGTGTCTCTCTCTTCTCTCTTTTTTCTTCTCCTCCCCCCGCCCCCCCCCCTCTCTTTCTCCTCAATAGCTCCATGAACAAATAATGAACATTAATTCTTTAGGTCCTTTATTCTCTCTTCCTCTAGCAAAAATTGTTCTTTATTCAAATACATGTATGGCTTTCGCCATCTTCTTCAAATCTTCACTTATGTGTCACCATCTCAGTCAATCATTACCTAAACACCCCAATTAAAATTGTGACCTTTAGGCCCTAGCTGGTTTGGCTCAGTGGACAAGAGTGTTGGCCTGGGGACTGAAGGGTCCTGGGTTTGATTCCGGTTAAGAGCACATGCCCGAGTTGCTGGCTCAATCCCCAGGAGGGGGTGTACAGGAGGAAGCCTATCAATGGTTCTCTCTCATCCTTGATGTTTCTATCTCTCCCTCTTCCTTACTCTCTGAATTCAGTATAAAAAATGGAAAAAAAAAAAAAAAAGTCACCTTTAGAAATTTTGAAAATGGCAGCAAAGTAGAGGAAGATACACTCATCTCTTCCCAGGACCATATCAGAGTAGTGGCTAAAGTACGGAACAATCAAGTTGAATAATTATCTGTCCACTAGCTGAACAGAAGACTTATAACTAAGAATTTACAGAGGAACCTGCATCGAAACAGGTAGGAAGGGCATGTGCAGTAGGTGAGAATCCTTTGGGCTATTTTGGGTGACTGTTCCCTGAGAAGCATCAGCTAGCTCCATGCCAGGTTACCTAGCTGAAAGCACTAGAACCCACACGGTATGTGGCTGTGAAAATCAGCAGGATTCTACACACTCTGGTGGACAGTGGGAACACGCTCTTAAAGAGTCAGTGCACAAGCATGGCAATCACCTTGGACTCCTTTGGTAGACTAGAGTCATAAAGGGGTGGACTAGAATCATAAAGGGAATCGGAAAATCTGAACAGACCAATTAAACCTATGAAATCAGAGAAATAATCGAAAAAATTTCCAACACTCCCTTTGTGCATCTACTAAAAGGATGAAGGCCCTTGTCAGCACTCAGACTGTCGACATACCCACAACTAACATCATATTCAACAGGGAAACACTGAAAGTGTTTCCTTTAAGATCAGTAACAAGAGAGTGTCCACTTTTATGATTCTTACTCAACATAGCCACAGCAACCAAAAAGAAGAAATAAAAGGCATCTAAATTGGAAAGGAAGAAGTAAAAATGTCACTATTTGCAGATGGCATGGTATTGTATAGAGAACCTAAAGATAAATGAATTCAGTAAAGCAGCAAGATACAAAGTAAGTATTCAGAAATTGGTTGCATTTTTTAAAAAAGATACGCTTTTATTGATTTCAGGAGAGGAAGAGAGAGGGAGAGATAGATACATCAATGATAAAAATCATAAATCAGCTGCCTCCTGCACTCCCCCTATTGGGGATGGAGCCCATAACCCGAGTATATGCCCTGGCTTGGAATCAAATGTGACCTCCTGGTTCATAGGTCGATACTCAACAACTGAACGACACCAGCCAGTCCAGTTGCATTTTTATACACCAATAATGAATTATCAGGAAGGGAAACTAAGTAAATAATCAGCCTCGGCCGCTTTGGTTCAGTGGTTACAGCATCATCCTGAGTAATGAAGAGTCGCAGGTTCAATTCACAGTCAAGGGCATATGCCTGAATTTCTGGTTTGATTCCTGGCTCCAGTTGGGGCGCATGGGGGAGGCAACTAATTGATGTGTCTCTCTCACATCTATGTTTTGCGCTCGCGCTCTCTCTCTCTCTCTCTCTCTCTCTCTCTCTCTCTCTCTCTCTCTCTCTCTCCCCCCTCCCTCTTTTCCTTCCACTTTCTCTTAAAATCAATAAAAAAAATCCTCAGGTGAGAATTTAAAATACAGAAGAAGAAAACAATCCCCCCACTTAGAACTCCATTTAAAAAAAATACCTACAAATAAATTTAACCAAGGACATAGAAGACCTATATTTGGAAAATTATAAGATACTAAAGAAAGAATCTACCCTGGCATGTGTCGCTGAAGTGGTTGGAGCATCCTGTCCTGGACCAAAGAGTCGTGGATTTGATTCCCAGTCAGGATACATACCCAGGGTGCAGTTTCAATCCCCATTTGGAGTATGTATGGGAGGCAACCAATCTCACAATAATGTTTCTCTCTCTCCATTTCCCTGACTTAAAAAAATAAAAAAGAAATTGAAGGGGGGGGGGGGGAGAAATAGAAGAAGAGAAAATTAAATGCAAGCATATACCAGGCTCATGGATAGGAAGAATTAACATCAATAAAATGTCCAACTACCCAAAGTAATCTATAGATTGAACACAATTCCTATCAATGGCATATTTCACAGAACTAGAATACTCCAAAATTTATATAGAACCACAAAAGACCCTGAACAGCTACAGCAATCTTGAGAACAAACTTGGAGGTATCAAGCTACCTGATATCAAATTATACTACAAGGCACATTACTCAAAACAGCATGATAAAGACTTAAAAGAAACAAAGATAATAGAACAGAATGGAGAGCCCAGAAATAAATCCTAGCCTCTATGGGCAAGTAATATTTGACAAAGGAGACTAGAAAACACAAAACTAAACTCTCTGACATTTCTACTATATTGCCTCTGAAAAGGGAAACAAAAGAAAAAGTAAACAAATGGGATTACATCAAACTATAAAGTTTTGGGGGCAGCAAAGGAAACCATCAACAGAATGAAAAGACAATCTACTAAATAGGAGAACATTTGGTTAACCCCATTAATCTTATGGTAAATGGTTTATATAAAAAAATTTACTAAAAACTGCCGGGACCGGTTTGGCTCAATGGATAGAGCATTGGCTTGGGGACTGAAAGGTCCCGGGTTCGATTCCGGTCAAGGGCATGTACCCTGGTTGCGGGCATATCCCCAGCAGGGGGTGTGCAAGAGGCAGCTGATCGATGACTCTCTCTCATCAATGTTTCTGACTCTCTATCTCTCTCTCTTCCTCTCTGTACAAAATCAATAAAATAAAAAAATAAAAATAAAAAAATTTACTAAAAACTCATACAACTCAACACCAGAAAAACAATCAAATTTGAAAATGGGCAGAGGACCTAAATAGATGCTTCTCCAGAGAGGATATACAGATAGCCAATCTACACTAATAAAATAGTAAGAGGCAAATCGACCATACCTTCATGATGCCCACCAGCCAATCAGTATACAAATTAACAATAAAAAAAGGATGGCAGGTTAATTTGCACACACAGACACCATCCCAGCCACTGAGGGAGCCTGCCAGCCCTTTTGCATCTCTACTCATCCTTCTAGTCTCTATGCAGTCCCCGCCTTCCACTCTCATTATCAGGTTCTCTCCAGCGAGTCTTTAGCTGGAGGCGGAAAGGCGACTCCGGCAGGAGTGAAGGCGGTGCCGGCAGCCAGGGGAAGGAAGGCCCATTCCTGCATGAGTCTTCATGCATCAGGCCTCTAAGAGACATATAAAAATATGCTCAATGTCACTAGTTATTTATATACAAATTAACCCGTACTGAGGTTTCACTTCACACCTATCAGAATGGCTGCCAATAATAAATCAACAAACAAGTGACAGTGAGAATGTGGGAAAAAAAGTGAACCTCTGGTACTGTTGGTGGGAATGCTGATTGATGCAGCCACTACTGAAAACAGTATGGAGTTTCCTCAAAAAGTTAAAATAGGCCTGGCTAGTCATTGAGAATTGGCCCATGAATTAGGAAGTCATGGTTCAATTTCCAGATAGATGTTTTTCATCGATGTTTCTATCTCTCTATCTACTCCCTCCCTCTCTCTAAAACCAATAAAATTTAAATATATATATATATATATGCAACTTAGGTAGAATTCATCCTCTTGGAAAAACTAAAAATTAAAAATGGAACTGCCCCTCCTCCCTGGCTGAGAAGGCTAGAGATTTTGCCTTTTTTTTTTCTTTTTCTTTTTTTTTTTTAACATAGTATATCTTGGACACTGGAAATCATTTCAAATTTCCTATATAATAAAAGCCTAATATGGGAATTGTCCCCTGGGGCAGTTGTTTGAGTAGGAGTTCGACCAGAATACAACTGCTTGTTATGACATGAGCTGTCCACCAGGGAGTGGCATGAGCATGGCGGGTATCAGCAACACATTGTGACCTCTCACTGGCTTCCTGGGTGCTGAGGTGATGAGGATAGAGGTGCAGTGAGAATGCAGGGTGTCTGCCGAGCTCACTCTTACCCCCCTGCTACCTCCCGCAGGATGCCAGGGCTGGTGTGCTGGGGAAGCCCCTGTGGTCAGGTGCTGGGTGCCCGCGAGGAGCCTGGCCCGCACTCGCCATGGCATCTCCTGGGTGCCTGGGCTGCAGCAGCCAGAACCTGAGGGGCCGGTTGCGCTCCCTGTGTGTTCATGCAGGAGCTGGTCTGCGAGGCTGGCCAGGAGAGAGCGTGCTGCCTGCCTGGCTTCTGTGCAGCACCGCTGGGCAGCCCAGAGGCCCACGCTGTGCCCAGCCATGCTCACTGCATCTCTGTGTGGTAACTCGGGTACCATGAGTCAGGTACAAGGGGGCGCATGGGGGACTGGGGTCCCAGGTGCTGCCAAAAGCCCAGAGGTCAGCTGAGACCTGCCTTTCAATGCGAGATATTCACACTTCAATCGCTGGCCAGGCCTAAGGACCATACCTGTGCATGATTTTTGTGCACTGGACCTCTAGTATATATATAAATCTTTTACAGAGGAAGCCAAGCAGTGAGAGGTTTAAGTTGATTAAAATGGGGGTGGAGTAAGTGTATGCTACATGGAATTACAACTGAAATACAGAAAAACTCTGAATAATCAACTAAAGACTCGCTAGAGAGAACCCTGATAACTGAGAATGGAAAGTGGAGACTGCATAGAGACTAGTAGGATGAGTAGAGATGCAAAAGGGCTGGTGGGGCTCCCACAGTCAACAACTGAAGTTCTGGAGAGATATCTCAGCTGTGGGGGTTTGACACGGAGAATTCTGGGGTCTAATCCCCAAGATGGATCGCCAAGTAAAGAGCACCAGAACTGAGAAGGGTTGTTGCCTGCAAGAGACAGCTGGGAAAGCAGGCACCCTCTTAAGGGCCGACATACAAATTTTCACGTTTAGTCACTCACTCTGTGCTCCAGCAGAGGGAAGGCAGAATGGACTGGAGCTCTGTGAGCAGAAGCCAGGGTTGGGGGATCTGGAGTTAGAGCTCAGAAGGCAAACACCACGGTTTCCTGTGATAAATCATTTCCTCATATTGCAGAGGTCACCTTTCTCACACAGACAACTGCGACAGTCAGTCTTGCCCTTGAGGGGGAAACAGTTGACTCACCCTATTGGGAAACACCTTGCCCCATGGTGTGCAGTTTTGGAAGACCATTAAGAGACTGAGAATATAAGATGGAAAACCATAAAAAAAATCTTAGAAGAATCCATAGGCAGCAAAATATCAGATAGATGTTGTAGCAATATCTTTACTGATAGAGCTCCTAGGGCAGTGGAAACTAAGGAGAAAAATAAACAAATGGAACTACATCAACATAAAAAACTTCTGCACAGCAAAAGAAACCATCGACAAAATGACAAGAAAGCCCACTGAATGGGAGACATATTTGCTAATGTTATATCCCATAAGGGTTTAATCTTCAACATTTTCAGGGAACTCATAAAACTTAGCAAAATCCAATCCAATTTAAAAAATGAGCAAAGGACCTAAATACTAATAGACACTTTTCAAAAGAGGACATACAGAAGGCCAAGAGACATATGAAAACATGCTCAAAGACACTAATCAAAATGCAAATCAAAATGACAATGAGGTACCATCTCACACCTGGCAGAATGACTATCATCAACAAATGAACAAACAAGTACTGGCAAGGATGCAGAAAAAAAGGAATCTTAGTGCACTGCTGGTGGGAATGCAGACTGGTGCAGCCACTGTGGAAAATAGTATAGAGTCCCCTCAAAAATTAAAAATGGAATTCCCATTTGGTTCAGTAATCCTACTTTTAGGAATATATCCCAAGAAATCAGAAACACCTATCAGAAAGGATATATGTAGCCAAGACTGGTTTGGCTCAGTGGATAGAACCTGCAGACTGAAAGGTCCCAGATTCGATTCTAGTCAAGAACATGTACCTTGGTTGCAAGAGGCAGCTGATCAATGTTTCTCTCTCATCGATGTTCCTAACTCTCTATCCCTCTCTCTTCCTCTCTGTAAAAAAATCAATAAAGTATATTACGGAAAAAGAAAGAAAGGAAGGAAGGAAAGAAGAAAGAAAGAAAGGAAGGATATATGCATCCCTATATTCATAGCAGCACAATTCACCGTAGCTAAGATTTGGAAACAGCCTAAGTGCCCAGCAGCAGATTAGTGGATTAGAAAACTGGTACATCTATGCAATGGAATACTATGCTGCTGTAAAAAAGAAGGAACTTTTACCATTTGCAACAGGATGGTCTAACCACTATACTGTACCTGAAACTAGTACAAAATAATACTGAATATAAGCTGTCATTTGAAAAATAAAATAATAATAAAATTGTGACCTTTATCCCAGAACTCCCCATCCTCTTTACACCTTCCTCTATTTCCCACCATAATCCTTTATCACTTAACATCTATTATTTCCTTATATGTTATATATCCTTGTCCAATTCCTATTGGAATTAAAACTCCAAGAAAGCAGATAATTTTTTTTCAGATCTTCTATCCTAGTACATAAAACAGGGACTGGCACTTAAAAGACACTATTAATTATTTGTCAAACCAATAATTTTAATTGCCTATGAACTAGAAGTGAACCCTTCTATTCATTCAAGGATTAGATCTATGCACTCCAAGCTTCTTATGATGGCTTGGTATTTCTGGTAACCAGCCCTTATCCTAAAGCTATCCAGTAGCTCACCAACAGACACCTCATTAGAACAGAAGAGGGTTCTTATCATCCAAGAAATTGCAAGGGATTTAGAAGCTCTGTGTCAGGAATAGTGCTCAAAGGCCAAATGGTTGAACAAAAGATGCTTCCAGTTCTCTCATCACATAGGAAATTATGAGTGTTTTAGGAGCTCTGCTCCAGATACTGGGGACAGAGACCAGTAATTATATTTTCTATTATTCACACCTTTAGAATTAAATATTGACCTTATACAGTTAATGTTTAAAGAGGTGAAAGTAAACTTTTTAACTTACTCCTTTAACATGCTCAAAGGTGACATTTTTCATCTGGACAGGATCTACTGCAGAATCAAGCCCCGTTGTCGTCCGGAAGCGGACTAAAGGAAACAAAATGCTTATATATTTGACAGATTCATATAATTCCAACTGCCTTATTTTTTCAGAAGCAAGAAAGCAAAGCCCAGACAAATTGTATATCTAACTTAACATACATTAAATTAGATTGAGGAGTAAACACTAGGTTTTTGGGATTTCTGGACCATATTCAAGAAATAAATGACTCACATTAAAATTACATCATTTTAGCAGAAACCAGTTTGGCTCAGTGGATAGAGCGTCAGCCTGTGGACTGAAAGGTCCCGGGTTCAATTCCAGTCAAGGACATATACTTTGATTGTGGGCACATCCCCAATAGGGGGTGTGCAGAAGGCAGCTGTTCGATGTTACTTTCTCATCAATGTTTCTAACTATCTCTCTCCCTTCCTCTCTGTAAAAAATCAATAAAGTATATTTTTTAAAAATATATATCATTGTACTTTCCAATTAAAACTAAGGATTATATTCCTCTTCTCCTTGTAATAGCCAATGACAGAAATCTTAAACCAATGGCTCTCCACTCCAGTCTGCATAAACATCACTCGGAGCATGTGTTAATGCCGGTTCTCAGGCCATGGCACAGAACTTCTGGTTTGTAGACTTAGGAAAAGGGCACCATAGAGTTTGCATTTTTAACAATCATCTTCAGTTATCATGATACAACCAGTCAAAGATCTACACTTTGAAATATTTTGCCTTAACCTAGCATGCAAATTTAGGCATTTAAAAAAAAAAAAGTGAAGCTTGACACTTGCACATTTTAAACAGCCACCTTCTTCTGACAACTGTTATTATATGCTGTTAGATGATTCATCAATAATGATATCACTAAGAATAAGAAAGGTAGTAAAATCCCTAGCTGGTTTGGCTCAGTAGATAGAGCATCAGCCTGCGGACTAAAGGGTCCTGAGTTCGATTCTAATCAAGGGCACATGCCCAGGGTTGCAGGCTCAATTCCCAGTAGGAGGCATGCAGGAGGCAGCCAATCAATGATTTTTCTCTCATCACTGATGTTTCTATCTCTCTCTCCCTCTCTGAAATCAGTAAAAATATATATTTTTTAAAAATAGTAAAAGTTTGGTAGAATAGTAAAATATCTGGGATAAACTATGGAGAACAAACAAATCAACTAGTTAACAAAAAGCTTTCTTAAACCTCTCTCCCTTGGGTAAACTTCGAAACTATACAAATATGAATGAGTAAATTAAGCAATTTCTAATTTCCTCAGAATAAGTCACAAATACTGTCTTTAGGATACTGAAATTTAAAAGCCAAAACTGAGCAGGCAAAAACATAGGATTAACAAGAAATACTTAGCAAATCAAGAACATACAAATCAGGAGAGCAGGTTTAAAATAGTAATTCTAGAATACACATAATTAGTTTAGCCCACTAAACTATTTTTTAAGACTTTTATAGATGGATTTAATAAATTTACAGCAGAAACAGTTGGACCTAATAAAAAATTAGAGTAATTACCCAAAAGCAGTGCATTTCATACTGTAATATGTTTTGCTTAATGTAAGTCATTAATTAAAAAAAAAAAAAAAAGAAGAAGAATCAGTGGTAATGCCATCCCTCCCTTTAACAACCCACTAATATCACCCTATCATCCTATAATGGGTTTTTCAAAAACTATTCATGTGTATTTTTTTTTTTTTATTGATTTCAGAGAGGAAGGGAGAGGGAGAGAGACAGAGCCCGCAACCCAGGCTTGTGACCTGACTGGGAATCGAACCGTGACCTCCTGGTTCATAGGTTAACATTCAACCACTGAGCCCCACCAGCCGGACACTGGTTCTTTTTTTAAAACAGAAGGAAGCATGAGACGGTGAATCTAGATGTAAACGTGATTTCTGGTTGTTAAAAACTTTGTCTCAGGTTTCATGTCACACAAAAATTTAAAAAATAAAAATATCTCAGGCTACATGCAAGTTCTAGGATGAAGTCCTGATCCAAATCAATTGATGTTCTTAATATATCAGTTTTTTTCTCTCAAGGTAATCAGGAAGAAAGTAAAAATAGAAGTTGAAAAAGTAATTAAAACCTCTTAAACCTCATATTATTACTTCATTTTAGATTGGGGAACTGAGAAATTATAGGACACATTTAATTTTATATAAAGTAATTTTTAATTCATTCAACTTATTAATTTGTTTTTAAAAAAAGGTATCATTTTGTACTGCTATTATAAAATTCTCCTAAATAGTTTTTTAACTTAATAATTAGACAGGTATAGCCCTCGCCAGGTGGCTCAGTTGGTTGGAGTGTCATCCCATACACCAAAAAGTTTAGGGTTGGATTCCCAGTAAGTGCACATACCTAGATTACAGGTTCAATCCCTGGTAGAGGTGTGTAGGAGGCATCTAATCAATGTCCGTTCTTCCCCCCGCCCACCTTCTTCTCTTAAAAAAAAATCAATAGTGAACCTCTGTGAGTATTAAAATCTAGGAAACCAACCATATCACTACTAGAAGTTGAAATAACATTTTCACTTTAACATTATTTTCACAAAACATTATTTTCTCAAAATGCTCAAAACCTGAATATGTACAGTGCCTAAAGAAACTTTTCTTGTAATCCACAAATCAATGTAAAGTTTTAAGTCTTAAATATTGAATAGACTATGAAAAAAAGTATGTGAAATATTTTTAGAATTAAATTAATTAGATAAATGAAAAGAATCTTTACCAGATAAAAATGGGTTTTTTAAAAGTCCATAAATGCCAAATAGCAGTAGAACAAATAGAATCAGACGAGTTCGTCTTAGAGAATCTGGAGAAGAAAGAAAAACCCGTAAATCAAATTATATCAATGAGAAATGACAGCTCGATGAGATGCAAACATTAAGTTAATGATGGTAATCATATTTCATCACAAATAATTTTGGGACCAGGTGTTCTTTTGCAAATTGCCATAATTTCCTTTTAACACCCTGCTATCAAAAACTTAATAAAGCCTTAACTTTGGTTTCTCAGTTGAGAAAGGGAAATTATCAGCAGATATTTCCATTTCTGCACAACTTCAGTTATAAACATAATACAATATAACCAATTAAAAATTTGATTAGTATAAAAGTTATTCATAATCACTTGAAGATAGAACTTTGACTTCCTTTCATACACTCTCTTCAAACATGAATGTCAAATTTGCTTACCATTGGTTTTTTGTGTTAGTGCTTGAGCTTTCAGAAAACCCTCTGCAAAACCAGTTTTAAATGCATCTTGGTGAGCTTCAGGTATGTTTTTGGTTTTCATAAGTTTGTCCAAAGTCTCAACATCTGATCCCCTGTCCCGCAAAAGAAATCCCTAAATACACAAGCAATTCAACAGTATTAACTAACTGTAAAAGGTAGTAACACTCATAAGAAATACTCTGACCACTCACTCAAAAATTTATTGAAATTTTAGAATTTTTTAATTTTATTGTTAGTGTGACAAATTTTATAAAACCCCAATAATAAATTACTTATTCAATAGCTAGGAAACTAACAGTGGGTCCTATACCTATGTCAATCAAGAAACTCTCTGTAAGAACACTATACTTAAAAAAGGTTGACTTAGGGTTCTAATAGCTTGATGATCAAACACCTTTGATGAATAAACAATTATCTGAATGCTTTCCATCTATTGGGGAGAGATATATAAAGTTTTGACATTATATTAGAAGTACTATGTATAATGGTAAACTAAATGCTACCTAAGGAAGTCAAGAAAGGCCTTTCAGAGAATGGGATATCTTAACTACAGAGAACAAACAGCACAATCTAAAAAAGCATGAAACACAAGTCTTTAGAGCTGAAAACTACAAAATTGACAGGACTTTAAAATGCCAAAAGAGGAGGAAGGTAGGGGTACAAAGGGGATTACACATTGAGAGATGAGAACAAAAAAATGTAAGCATAAGAAAAAACAATAACATGCCTTATGTATCATGGAAAGTGACAGTAAAGCAGAAAAATACAATTATGACATTTATTACATTTTAGATGCACTGGTGGGTGGCAGTCTAGAGGCTAAACTGAAGGTAGTAAAACTAAAGGCATGTAGACTACCTGATTGCCTGTAACCATTTCTTGCCTAGATTACTGTAATAGTCTATGCAACAGAACTGGGAGGGGATAAAAAAGAGACTTAAGACCCTGGGTTGGATCAACATGATTTTAGTGATCAAAAGGATTTAGTGATTAATGGATGTGGGAAATAAAAGATGGACACATCAAAGTTTATCAGCAGGCTACTATTGTGTTTCCCCAAAAATAAGACATCCTCCAAAAATAAGACCTAGAGCATGGAAAGATAAGACATCCCCTGAAAATAAGACCTATCGCGACTTTGGGAGAAAAAATTAATATAAGACACTGTCTTATTTTCGGGGAAACAGGGTAGCTTGAGTGGATGCTACTCATAAGCAGGTATAGGTTGGTTGAGAGAAAAAAAGAGTGAGATGTCTAATAGGCCAGTGGAGAGATAAGTTTGACACCCAGAAGAATTGTAGTTAGGATTACACAGGATAGTCATCCATCCTTTATCATAAGTAGAAAAACTGGGAAAATTAATAAACCCACAAAAGAAGCCCACAAATGAAGGCTCTCATTTTAATAACTTAAAAATTATTGCTATTTCAAACAAACAAACAAAAATGGTCTAATTACCTTCACAAATGATGGTGCTATATACTGTGTTTCTGCTAATCTTTCAGAGGTGGACTGTAGACGTCGTGTTCTTGATTTTAACGTTTTAAAACTCCGAGACTGTATGAAAACTGAATGAGACATATCACATTTACTTTTCATCGTACATTTTGTATAAGAAGAAAATTATGCCTAAAATTCAAAATGCTGACACAATACTTGTACATCCTAGATCTTCATCTTATGTTTTACCAGTTCTTTCCCTGACACTTCAACACACTTGTCATTAAAATGGATTGATCTATGTAATAGACTTCACTTTTATTTTGGTGATTTAAAAATGTAAAAAACAAAACATAGATGCATATCAAATAAAAATCAGTGTCTCCTAATTCCTCAAATCCCACTCCTACTTCCTATAAGTATCCAGTGTTGCTTAACAATTCGATGACTACATTTCTATGTGTTTAAACACGTTCTTTCTATAAAAATAGAACATAATCTTCTACCACTGTTTTCTTTCACTTAATATATCATGGACATTTTCAAAATAAGTCAGACAGTACATTCAGTTTAATGGCTGTTTATAGTTTTCTGATTTTTTATCTGGGTAAAGCAATTTATTGAACCATTTCTCTACTTCAGACATTAGCTGCTTCCTATTTTTTAAAAATATATCTTCATTGATTTCAGAGAGGAAGGGAGAGGGAGAGAGAATAGAAACATCAAGGAAGAGAGAGAATCACTCCTCTAGAAAGTTATTATCAATTTATACACCCACCAATGAATATGATAATCCTTTTCTCCACAGCCTTTGTAATAAAAATCATGTTAATTTGTATAAATCTGATGGGCAAAAAGTAGTATTTTAATGTGCATCTTGGAATAGAAGTGAGAGTAAATCTTGAAAACAATTTATTATTGTTATTTCTTTAGTGGTAAATTAATTACTCATGCATGACCTGTGCACATATTTTCATTTGTAGAATATGGATGTCATGTATACTAACCTTCAGTTATATTTATTTCAAACATTTATTTTTAAATCTTTGTCTCTTAATTGATACAGTAACATAAAATTAAGGTAGCCCTATCTTTTAATCTATAGTTTTGTGCATTGTAACTTTTTAAAAATATATTTTTATTGATTTCAAAGAGGAAGGTAGGAGAGAAACATAGAAACATGAATAATGAGATAGAATCATTGGTTGGCTGCCTCCTGCACACCCCTACAGAGGATCAAGCCCAAAACCTGGACATGTGCCCTATCTGAGAATTGAACCATGACCTCCTGGTCATAGTCAATGCTTAGTCACTGAGCCATGCCAGCAGAGCTTCTGTATTGTGCTTTATCATAAGTAGGAAAATGGAGAAAATTAATAAGCCCACAAAAGAAATCAGATAATGAAGAATCTCACTTAATAACTTGAATATTACTGCTCTTTCAAACACCCAAACTATGATTTTAAAGTTAGTCTACTGCATCTAATGCTTTGATTTTTTTTTTTTTTTGTCAGACCTTTACCTACCTGGAACTTTTGTTTTAATGTAAGAAAAGAATCAGATTCTGTTATGTTTTTTTTACATCCAAGTTTAAAATCAACTTCTTAATTTTCATAACAAGTCTTTAATAGAATTGTACTAAATTGATAAATTTAGGTGTGAATTGATAGTTATAATACGAAGTCCTTTTATAAAGGATTATGGTATTTTTCTTTGTATTTTACTCAGCTCTTCCTTTACTTCTTTCAGTGAAGTTTTCTATGCAGACACACACACACGTGTGTGTGTGTGTGTGTGTGTGTGTGTGTGTGTGTGTATACACATTATGTTGCATGTTTCTTGTCAGGATAAAATACTCATGGGTTTTGAAAAAAACTGTAAATAAACCCTATTGCTAACAAAAAAACTATTGATTTTTTATGCATTTATATTACATGGTACCTATGTAATGAACTCTTACTATTATATTATACTTGAGCAGTGTTTCAGTTGATTTTATTTTTTTTCTTTAAATATATTTTATTGATTTTTTTACAGAGAGGAAGGGAGAGCTGGAGAGAGAGAAAGCTAGAAACATGGATGAGAGAGAAACATTGACCAACTGCCTCCTGCACACCCACAACCAGGGATGCACCCGCAACCAATGTACATGCCCTTGACCGGAATCGAACCTGGGACCTTTCAGTCCGCAGACCAATGCTCTATCCACTGAGCCAAACCGGTTTCGCCTCAATTGATTTTCTTGAATATCCTGATAAACAAGCATCTCACCTAGAATTATTATTCTGCTTCCCCATCCCCCCCTTTTTTTAAATCCTCACCCGAGGATATTTTTCCATTTTTTCAGAGAGAGGGAAAGACAGAGAGAAATATTAATGTGAGAGAAATGCATCAATTGGTTGCCTCCTGCATGCACCACGACCAGGATCTGGGCCACGGAGGAGCCTGTAAACGAGGTACATGCCCTTGATCAGAATCAAACCTGGGACCCAATGCTCTGCAGGCAGATGTTTTATCCACTGAGCCAAAGCAGCTAGTACCCCCTTCTTTTAGCTTATATATAACTCCCTTCTTTTTCTTTTTATCAGAGCCTCCAAATTAACACTGCACAAACACAGGAAGATACACACTTTTTTTTATGGTTTTATTTTTTTTTAAATATATTTTATTGATTTTTTTTTTTTTTGCCGCCCTCTCTCCCTCCCACACATACCCTTCCTCCCAGAGTTTTATGTCCATTGGTTGTACTTATATGCATGTATACAAGTCCTTCGGTTGATCTATTATCTCCCCCAGATCTTCCTCCCCTCTCTACTGTAATTTGACAGTCTGTTTGTTGCTTTACTGTCTCTATATCTATCTTTTGGTTCATCAGTTTATAATGTTATTATCCACAAATGAGTGAGGTCATGTGGTGTTTTTCTTTCATTGACTGGCTTATTTCACTCAGCATGATGTTCTCCAATTCCATCCAGGTTGCTGCAAATGATGAGAATTCCTTCTTTTTATGGCAGCATAGTATTCCATTGTGTAGATGTACCATGGTTTTTTGATCCAATCATCTGTTTCCAAATTCTGGCTATTGTAGATTGTGCTGCTATGAACATAGGGGTGCATATATCCTTTCTGATTGGTGTTTCTAGTTTCTTGGGATATATTCCTAGAAGTGGGATTACTGGGTCAAATGGGAGTTCCATTTTCAGTTTTTTGAGGAAACTCCACACTGTTCTCCACAGTGGTTGCACCAGTCTGCATTCCCACCAGCAGTGCATGAGGGTTCCTTTTTCTCCACAACCTCGCCAACACTTGTCGTTTGTTGATCTGTTGATGTTGGCCATTCTGACAGGTATGAGATGGTACCGCAATGTTGTTTTGATTTGCATCTCTCGGACAATTAGTGACTTAGAGCATGTTTTCATGTGTCTTTTGGCCTTCCTTCTGTCTTCTTTTGAAAATATTCTATTTAGGTCACTTGTCAATTTTTTAATTGGATCATTCATCTTCCTTTTATTTAGTTGTATAAGCTGTCTGTAAATGTTGGAGATTAAGCCTTTATCAGTTGTATTATTTGCAAATATGTTCTCCCACACCATGGGCTTTCTTGTTGTTTTGTTGATGGTTTCTTTTGCTGTAAAAAAGCTTTTTATTTTGATGTAGTCCCATTTGTTTATTTTCTCTTTAGCTTCCATTGCCCTAGGGGCAGGGAAGATACACACTTTGTTCCTAATATTAATGAGATCCAATAGCTATCCTTAAGAAACTAAAAATTTTATTCTAACTTTCTAAGAATCTGTAGGAGGCACAACAATTAAAATATATCACACAACTCTTCTTTTTTTTTTTTTCATATACTGAAATAACATTGCTTTTCTCTCTTTTACTCCTTAAGCATAATTTTTAGCACATTGTAAACTTGCTTTTTCAGAATTTAGGGTTTCTGTATCTATATTATTAAGCTAAATCGATCCTTTGTATTTTTTGTTGCTAATATTTTGGTGTCATTCATTTCATGAAATAAACAGGGAAGCCTATTTTATCTTTCTCTTATTAATAAAGCAGTTTTAAATACTAGGAGTCTGCTAATCCTGGGAAACAGAATGTAACCATAAAGCCATCTGAGCCTAGTGCTTTGGGGCAAAGGAATTGTATTTGAAAACTATACCTTTCCATTTTTACGGTATTGTCTTATCTCTTATTGCGTCAATTTTGCTAATTTATAGCTTGAATAATTATGTTCAAACACATTTTTATTTAAAATATAAAATTATAGCCGAAACCGGTTTGGCTCAATGGATAGAGCGTCGGCTTGGGGACTGAAGGGTCCCAGGTTTGATTCCGGTCAAGGGCATGTACCTTGGTTGAGGGCATATCCCCAGTTGGGCGTGTGCAAGAGGCAGCTGATCGATGACTCTCTCTCATCGATGTTTCTAACTCTCTATCTCTCTCCCTTCTTCTTTGTACAAAATCAATAAAATATATTTTTTAAAAAATAAATAAATAAAAGTAGAATAAAATATAGAATTATACACAGTATCTTGTAATTTTAAATTTTTATTATATAAATTTCAGGTGCACATAATTTGACTTCTGTACATGCTATATAAAATTATCAACCCACAAAACCTAGTTATTATCCATCACCACACAATTGACCTCCTTCACCATTTTTTGCCTATTCCCACTTCCTTCCTCTATGGTAACCACTGATCTCTCTGTAGCTATGAGTTTTTGCACTGTTTGTTTTTTAAAATTCCACATGAGTGAAATCATAAGGTATTTGTCTTTCTCTTTCTGAACCTTCTTATCTTAGCTAATAATAGAAAAGAATGTAAACTGCCAAAACCAGTTTGGCTTGGAGGATAGAGCATCAGCCTGCGGACTGAAAGGTCCCAGGTTTGATTCTGGTCAAGGGCATGTATCTTGGTTGTGGCACATCCCCAGTAGGAAGTGTGCAGGAGGCAGCTGATCGATGTTTCTCTATCATCTATGTTTCTAACTCTCTATCCCTCTCCCTTCCTCTCTGTAATAAAATCAATAAAATATATATATATTTAAAAATACAGAAGAAGCCAGGCCCAGAGCAGCCGGGGTGGGAAGAGCCAGACCCAGAACAGCAGTAGCCAAGCCC